GTAATTCTGCTTTTTCCAATGATGGCGAAATGGCAAATTTGTCAAGACTGTGAAAAGTTGGAGCTTCACTTATAAGAGCGAAAAAAACTTTTAGACCAATCTAATTGTAGGCGAGATTACAGAACCATGTAATTACATCGGAAAAGAATGTTGAACAAAACATTGGAAAAGGGTTGCATGCCTACGCAGCTTGGTTATTCGTAACACAAGCTGGTCAAATTGACTAGTAAGTTGCAAAAGTAAGTAAGGTAAGTAATGGAGGACGAGTTTCTAACGTGTTACTCTCTCAATATCCCATAGACGAATAGTTCTGTGCTATTGTCTTTGGTAATAACCATAACCCGGACAAAGTCTACATATTCATGATCACCACAATCTGCTATAAAGATGTTCAAAATGTATTTCGAATGGTTTCGTTACAAAATTGGACATTTATGACTCTGAGAAAATTTTATTCCATAGTGAAATCTTGATCTTCACGACTACATTGTACCTAATGTTGATCAATTTAAAATATATAGCACTGGAATTTAATGGAAGATTATCGTATTGGTTGCTTTACTAACATTATGCTTTTGAGAACATATCCTTCCGGTTTCGCTTTTATGTGAGGACTGAACTAGAAAAGTTGTATGGGTAACTGATCATTAAGGAGACTCCCCTTGGTGAGGCTCACTTTGTAGTATACGAATATTTCTTTCCAAAGTGTTTTATGAAAAATGAAATAATCTCAATAAATTTCCATGCGGAGTAGCATAGTTCAACTACTTGTTCTGTATAGCCTAGTGAAAAGTCATAACTTTTAATCTGCAGAACACATCACTTGAATTTGCTATCGTAAAATTTTCAAATGATATTTTTACGGTTATGCTCAAAGATATAAAGTATCAAGATGTTAAATTTTTATGTAGAGAACTTCATATATATACATCACATCCTTGTCTGGACTCACTATGCTATGGCTGCGTCAATCGCCTTCTCTTTACTTCTTTTTGTACATGGTTGGTCTCTGCAAATAATTTTCAATACAGTCCTAACCTCTAAATAATAACTATTTTTTGCACATTACTTATTGAAATTTATTTAAAGATGACTAT